TTTTTCTTTTTAATAATATTAAGTGATTATTATTTTTTTTATTTTTTGCATTAGCAACTTATAATTAAACAAGATTATATTAGTTTAATAAACAAAATTTGATAAACATACAAAATAGTTAAAATTTTGCTTTGTCATTATTTAAAAAAATATAATTTTTTATTTATTAAAAATAAAAATGAGTGTGTGTTTCACACTTTTATATTTTATTTTATTTATCTATTTTCTCATTATTATTTTTATAAAATTAATAATTTTAGTAATAAAAAAATATAGAAAAAATGAAATTAATTGTTTTTAAATTAATCGTTATTAGTCATTTTTTAGTATTTACTATTAGTGTGTTCCAAATCAACTTTTATACATCTCAAGACTAATCATTTCCTAGACTAATCATTTCCTAGGTAACTTTATGAGCATATCCCCACACTAAGTGCATTCATAGAAATTAATTTCCTTAGATACTAATGTCAAGACTTAAGCAATATACTTAGTTTATAAAATGATACTTGCTTATTAGTGAATCTAAACCTTGGGATTCCTTACTACTTATTTTATTAGTTATTTAACATCAAATAATAACTATTATTATTATATAACGAAATAATTATATGAATTAAAATTTATTATTTATTATTTAATATCCACTTTTTATTATTCATCATTTATTATTCACTTACTGTCACCAATTACTGCCATCCATAACTTATTGCTGCCTGAATTTTAACTATTATACTAAATAAAACTTTTAGTCTAACCAGACAAACAAACGGAGGAAGGAGGGAAAGTCTGCGCTGTACCCTTTTTTGTCTAATAAAATAGCTAGCTGGCCCTTAATTTATCCAAACTGCATTTATTCCTGTTTATGTGGATACTCTGCTTTAAGCATTTTCAGTAATGGATGGTATTTATCAAAAGCTTTGTGTTTTATTTATTTTTTTTTTTTACCATTTTGTTCAAATGTTATATATTTGATTTAGACCTGGCAAAAATTCACCCGACCCGTCAACCCGACCCTAACCCGACCCTTAAAAAACGGGTTAGGGTTTACATATCTCAACCCGCAACCCGTTTATAGCCCAACCCGTATAACCCGTCACCCGAGTTGACCCGACCCTAACCCGACCCAACCCGCCCGTTTGCCAGGTCTGCATGCTTCCCGTACATTCAGTAATGGATGGTATTTTTCAAAAGGAAAATAATGTGTGCACACTTGGATCCAACACTTGGGTGTGCACACTCCTCATGAAAAAAAAAAAAAAAAACCATCACCACCCGGTCCAATTTTTATTTTTATGTGGGGGTGCACACCTGTATGTTGGATCCGGGTGTGCACCAATCAAGGTCCTTATCAAAAACATTTTGTTCAAATGTTAATCCCTCATATATTTGCCAAATGTTGTCGCTGTAGTGCCCTATTGTAGTGTCGATTCAGTTTGTTTCCATTTTTTGGTTTAATGTAGATTCAGTTGTTTAAAGGAAAATTATTGATATAGTTTTTAATTTAAATATTTACTTGATTTAATTATTAAAATATAACATAAAATGTAAATACAATTTATTTAGTCGATTCTTGTATATTATATGATTATATTTTGATTTTATTTATATTTAATTTTATATTAAAAAATAATTTTTTAATAAATATATTGGAATAGTGTTTATCCACCTTATCTCATAAAGATTAAAAGGAAAATCATTTCAAAACTACGTTATTTCAATAAATCCCTATTGAAAAAGACTAAAATACTATATTTTTAAAATATCAATTAAAGTGTTTTTTGTCTTTCTCTATAATATTTTATTAAAACTAACGAGGGGTTGGATCAAGTAGTAAGCGGCTTGTTCCAGCTTAAACAAGGTCTCGAGTTCGAGACCTTGTGTACGCAGCAGTCCCCGCTAGGAGACTCACCCACCATTTCCAGGTGCACGACGCGGATCGGGTCCGGATTAGTCGGGACGAAGTCTTGGATACCGGGCGAGAAACCAAAAAATAATAATAATAATATTTTATTAAAACTACTTAATTTTAGAATAATTTTTCTTCTAATTTCTAGGAGGTAAAGCTGATAAATACTAATTCTTAAATATATTATATAATATATTAAATTAAAAAGTATACTAATTAATGTCATAGTTTAAGTAAACCTTTGAGCACTTGGTCTTTGAGTAAATGAGAAGGGGTTTCCCTCCATCGCAAACAGTAGCCCTCCCTTATCAAGTGTCATTGTTTATTAAATGAACCTTTGAATCCTAAAGGGTGGTTTAATGGTAAATAATTTATGATTTTAAATTAAAGATTTTAAGTTTGAATATTGAATCAAAGAAGAAGAAATTTAAAGAAATGACAGAGTTATCATTTCTTGTAAAGTTCATTATTATCATTTATATAAAAAGAAAATAACATTTGAGTGCTTGTCTTTGAGTAAATGAGAAGGATTTCCCTCCATTACAAACGGTAGTACTCTCTTATCACCTTATTTATTTATTTAATAATATTTAGAAATTATATAAAAAAATTATGTAAAAAATTATATAAAAAAAGTTACATGTGTATTATTACCTATAAATTTATATATGGTCTAACTCAGCATACTTTACTGATTTTCCTAACACGTCAACATAAATGTGTGGTCCACTAACATATTTTGTGATAATTATGGGGTTAATTAATTGATTTCGTTTGCCATATCAGCTTGGATATCCGCTTAATTCATTTTTCTAATAACTTTGCTCCACTCAATCCTTTATTCATAACCTTAATTAATAGGAGTTTTTTTAAGCGTACAAGTACCTTTTTGATAATAATGGTGGTTAAAAAAATAAAAGTTGATATTTATTTAATTAAAATAAACCACATGGTATTAGTGATGAAAATAATGCTGGGTTTTGTCATTTTTAATACTAATTAATGTTAAATAAAAATACTATAATTATAATGTCAAGTAGTATTATAAACTTACAACATAATAAATTATTATATAATTAATTATTTTCATTCATCCACTTATTTAATATTAAGTTATATATACTTATTTAATATTATATTATAATTGTAAGTGTACAATCTTACATGGCATAACTAACATTATCAAATATTAAAAAGGTGCATTAATTATGCTCTTAGAGCACAAATTAAAAATATCACATTAATAAAAGTTATGAAAGTTCAAATCCTCATCTATACCATTTCTTGGAAAAAAAAAAAAAAAGGGGTAAATTGCAGTTTGCTCTGTATTGATTGGACTTTACTTAACTATTAATAGAGAGGATGCAAGCCCTTAATATTAAAGGCCTACCGCCCTACCAATAATTAAAAATAATGTAATATGCACCACAACATTCTCTTCTCAAAAAACCACCATTTTTGTGTAATTAAGGAAATTAATGAACTTGCAACAATGGTGTGAATCGTAGGAAAACTAGGGGTGGGCGTAAAATTCACAAACGAAAAAATCCAAAATCAATTGAAATTATGGGTAGGGTTTGTTGGGTTTTGGATTTTTTTGACTAAAAATTAAACTAAATTGATTTTAAGTGGTTTGAGTTTTAGTTGTTGGGTTTAAAGACCAAAGAACCAATATTAAGATAAGTATAATTGAAAATTCCAGCCCTAAAAGTCTTTTATATAAATTTTTTAATAGTTTGTAGATTTTTTAAAAGTTTTCTCACTACTTTCACCAAATTGTTTATTTATTTAAGAAATATTTAGTTTTTTAATAATTAAAATTAATAAAAATGATAATTAAGAAATTTTAAAAAATCATTAAAAATATAAAAATAATTTTTCAGGAATGATTATCTTAAAAATGTAATCTAAACTAATAAACCCGGTTTTTTCAGTTTAATTAATAATTATTAAAATTCAATATTTAAAATTTTGATTAGCAGGTTTCAATTGTAACTAAAATCCAACAATGACCACCCACAGGGCCCAAGGGAAACAATGTCTTTGAACGTGGCGAACAGTTACAGAAAGTTTGAGAGAGAGAACGAGGGTGACGTTTAAAGGAGAAAAAAAAAACGATTACATGACATATGAAATTTTATAAAAAGAAAGTTATATATAAAAATAATTTCAAAAAAGTATTTATAACCTTATTAAACTTTTTTAATAGAATTATTTTTATGTTATTTTGTTAATTAATGATAATTTAATAATTTTAATATTTATATTACATTTTTAAGTTGTGCTATAATAATTATTTTATATAAATTTTTAAAATTTTTATATATTATTAAATAAATAAATATATTTAATATCATATAAATTTTAAATTAATAAAAAATATATCATTTAAATTAGATGTAAGATTAAATAAAAGTAATATAAACAATTATCATTATTTTTTTATATTTTTAGTGTGTAAAAAAGATGAATATGATATAAATATTACGTATGTCAATCTCTCAATTTCCTTTCTGTTTTGCCCTACAGTTCGCTAGCCAGCTCCCCATTTCGTCCATTCATTCTTCCAGAAAAATGCCGACGTTCTCGCCGGAACTAATCTACGCCGTTCTACTCCGCCTGCCGGTGAAATCTCTCTTACGATTCAGATGCCTTTCCACCTCATTCTGCGCCGAAATCGACAGTACAGATTTCGTCAAGAATCATCTCAACAGATCAATTCAAGGCAAAACCAGACTCAAGTTAATCATCACCGATGAAGATATAGAGTCTGGTTCCACTTTCTACGCTGCAGATTTTGACGATTGCCTCAAAGAAGTCATCTTACTCAACAAGCCATCAAAATCTACACAGCTTGATGATACCCTGGTATGTAATAATTCCTGCAATGGTTTGATTCTCTTGGTTATATTTTTCAATGATTTGGGTTCGGAATCCATCAAACTTGCCTTATGGAACCCATTCACTAGGCGGTGTAAGAGTATACCGCCGAGTCCTGTCAAAATTGGTTCCAAGAAATCACTTGCGTTCGGTCTAGGTCATGATTCTGCGTTGGATGACTATAAGATTGTGATGATTATAGAGGGTGAATATTATCTGAAATTTCAAGTCTGGATTTTCAGTCTGAAATCAAATTCCTGGAGAAGGATTAAAGACCTTCATCTGGGGGAGGATGATTTTAGGTCTTGTGTGTGTGGATTTGCAAATGGTGTTCTGTATTGGGAATGTAAAGGTAAGACACTCGGGTTTGACGTTGCGAATGAGTTGTTCTTTAACCTACCACTGTTGCCTAATGGTGGTGGGACGATGACAAGCTTAGGACCCTACAATGACTCCATTGCCGTCTTGGAGGATAACCTCTACATTTCCAAAATAGCTCCTACATATAAAACTGTTGATTTTTACTTGCGTGTGAATGGTAAAGGTGGAGTAAAAGCAGAAGCTGTAGCAGAAGGCGGTTGGATGAAAGCATTTACAATTGAGGAAGAGGGGCTTAGTATTAAATTTCAGGATGTTGATTTCATGCCTTGGCCTTCTGCATATTCAAAGGATGGGGATAGCATTCTACTTTATACAAGAAATGAGATGTTTTGGTATAACCTTGGTCAGAAAACAGCACTAAAGGTGGAGATCGCTGGGATGCCTCAGGCTGAGAGTTTTGGATTCGATATTTGTTGGGAAAGTCTTGTTTCTCTTGATGATGACAATGCATTTGATGGATCAGCTTAGAAAATTGATCTAGTGGCACAATTAGTTGAATGATATTGGTCTTGTTTTGCCCTTGTCCTTGTAAATCTAGTTACTTTTTGAGTGGGATTTTGTATGGTTTGAAACTCGGCTTAGGTTTTCAATAATTTGCCTTCATAATTTAGACAAGAACTTGCAGCTTTATGTATTTTGATGTTGGCTCTTTGGTTATATATTTACTTATTTGATTAATTTTATAGCTTAACGTCTATTTTGTGTTTTCATTTTGAACGATTAATCTTTGTGATGACGGAGCTATTGAGGTTCTAACTGAGTTCTTTTATTGTCTATTGAGATTGCGTCTCAATGTTGATCTAATAATACATATATTTTTCTCTGGTTGACTATACATAGGCATAATATATATCGGTGAAAATTAACATCACTAACAAGTCAAATTATGTTCGTGAAAATTCATTGGTGATAAAGAAGTGTTGTCTAGTAGCGTGTCTATGAATAGGGTCTTCCCCTCCATTAGAAGCTGCTAAGTTGCAGACTGTATCAAAAGAACTTTTAATTATTCTTTTATTTAATTTTTCCTATGAAGTAAAATGAAAATCAAGATCGGGGTACACTTGCACTTGATTAGCTGGCTGGTCATCTCGCATTTGGAATTTCGTGGATTTAGCCAACCCTTTTTCTAGTTATTAAATCAATTATTAGATAAATTAGTGTTTGATCTTTAATTAGGTAAATAAGTATTAACAATTATAGTCAATGAGTTAAGTAACTCAATAATAATTTTTTTTTAATATAATTAAAAGATTTTAGATTTAAATCACATGGTATACAAATAGAATGAGATAAGAGATAAAACAAGAATTACCTTTTATATTACACAAACCTAAAAAGAAAAAAAAAGTATTAGCAATTGTATGTCATCTATGGTATCAGTTACATTCCAATAATTCATTTAAACAAAATCTTACCTCCTATTCAACAACTTATTTAAACAAAACTTTATTTTTTTGTTTAGTTTGAAAAACAAAAGGGAAGGGACGGACGAAGGGAAAAGGAGCTAGGGAAGGTAATATGCTTCCATTTCCCTTTGCTTTTATTCTCTTCCCTCATTTAGTTATACTAAAATTATAAAGAAATTTAACTTACCTCCTATCGCATCACCTTCTCCCCAATTTTTGTTTTTCAAATGGTAAAATTCATCCCCTTCCCCTCACCGCCCCTCCTCTTAAACTAAACAAGCTACTTGTAATTACACTTGTAGTGTGTGTATATATATAGATATACAATTATACTTGTAAAATTAGATAGCATTAGTAACAAATTCAGAACAAATCAAAAAACCCTAGCAGAGAAATAGCCTCTCTGCCATGGCTATGGCTTTCCTTAGCCTTTTCTTTCTATTCTCTATTTTTGTTCCTTTTTCTTTTATTTACTTGTCTTCTTGAATCAATCTTTGTGTTCATTAGGCAATCTTTTTCTCTTCGTAGCTACTTTTGTGGTGGCTAGTATATATGAGAATTTATCTCTTTCCTTGTTTTCTTTATTTCAATTTTAGTCGAAGTTTGTGAAAGTTTATGGTTTTTATTGGTATTTTAGGTGTGTGTGGTTTATGGAAGGTTTGGTATGATTGTTGGTTATCTTGTTAACAGAGTGGAACCTCCCCAATTATTTCCTTCAGTGTTGAGTCAAAAAGGAGCTCTTTGAGATACGATTGGCTCCATGATGGGTAGGGCATGGCAACAACAATCTACCTTGGGAAAAGGACAATGTTTTTATGTGATGAATGGGATAAAGTGGCTATCAAAAGTCACTGGGCTGGGCATCACTCAAAATGAAGATAGATGGTGGAGTGACAACTAGTGGCGACGTGAATCATTCTAACGAAGAGACAATGATGTTTGATAACTATATAGTTTTCAAATTTTTGGGAAGGTGATGAGTAGAAATCAAAACTCTCATTTGATTATCAGGATACTTGTTGGGATTGAAGCAAATATTTAAGGAAGACAATTTGATGGGTGGAGGGAAAGAGGAGATTGTGGGTATTAATTGTGAAAAATTATGGTATTTGTTTTAATTAGGAATTGCTTGGATGAAGGGTTTTGGTGGCTAATTAAGAAATAGACTCTTTTTATTTATAATGTTAATGTTATAGTTATAATTAAAAGGATTTACTTAGATTGGTAAATTTGAATGGGATTGCAGACAATCATATTAAGAGGTCCATTATACCTCTACTTAAGTTTGTAGTAATTTATTTTTACAAATTAAATTTATTTTTCTATAAAAAAATAATTATACTTATAGTTATAAGAGTGAAAAAAGTGATAATAAAAGAGAATTTTTTAAATATAAAAGATTTCCCTTAAAGCTAAAAAGAGATTAAAATTTAAAAAATATAAATTAATCATAACCATCAATGATTTAAACAATTTAAATAATTTTATGATAATTTATTTTAAAGTGAAACAAAATATTCTAATTTTAAATAGTAAACATATGTATAAGATGAATAATAACAAAATAGGAGGGAATCACCTCCCATCCACTAACTCACACCAAAAATATATATATATATATATATATATATCATGACTACCAGCATAATTTTGTGAAAATAAATCATAACCCAATGTTGAAAGCTTGCTATCCAAACACACCCTTACTCATTATGTACAACACTTTCGAGTTCCTTGGCATATGTGGAATAATGGGATGCTCTCAACATATTACTGAAAAGCAGAAACTTTACTCTTCTGACTAACACCGTTTCTCTCAAACCCCCGCCTTTCGGTTTTCATTCAAAAATCAAAACTCCAAACCCTCGAATAGGCTTTTGCGGTTCCACCGCCATGGACGATGAAGTAGACCCGATTTCCCTCTACATGGCTCTTGATCAATGGCAAGATGAAGACGACCTCTATCAGTCATCACAGTCGTCATCGGAGACCTATATGCTCGGCTTCGTCATCGCCAACATAGTGGGTCTCCGGTACTACCGAGGCAAAATCAGTGGCCGGGAAATGGTGGGTCTTGTGCGAGAACCTCTGAATGTTCACGACTCAAATGCAATTAAAGTCCTTAATACAAGAACTGTTCAGGTGGGTCACGTAGAGCGGGGTGTGGCTGCTGTTCTTGCGCCTCTGATGGACGCCCACTTGATTTCTGTTGAAGGTATAGTGCCCAATACTCGAAGTAGTGGTAATAAGTATAAGATTCCTTGTCAAATTCATATCTTTGCTAGAATGGAGGCGTTTCCTACTGTAAAAGCCGAAATCTCGCGAGGTGGGTTGACGTTGATTTCAGACTCTAGTGCGTCTTTCACTTTGTCGGAAGCTGTGGTGGTGAAAGAGAAGAAGGGTGCTGGGGAATTGAGGAGTGTGGATGAGATTTTCAATTTGGCTGACGAGAAAGTGAGTAAGAGGGGTGAATTGGAGATTATGGAGGCCCCAGAGGAGGTGATAAAATCAGATCTTTTTGTGCACCAGAAGGAGGGGTTATGGTGGCTATTTAACAGGGAGAATTCTGTTGAATTGCCTCCTTTCTGGGAGGAGAAAGATGGTGAATTTGTTAATGTGTTGACAAATTATAGGACTGATAAGAGGCCGGAGCCTTTACGTGGAGGGATTCTGGCAGATGATATGGGGTTAGGAAAAACTCTAACTTTGCTTTCTCTGATTGCATTTGATAAATATGCTAGTTCTAGTCCTGCTAGCAGTGATGATGTTGGAAAGGGAAAAGAAATTGCTGAGGAGGATGGATTTTCTACTTCAGATGGTAAAAAAGGAAAGAGGGGTAGAGTTACTAGAAAGGGAACTGGGACACGAAAAAGGGCTAAGACCAAAGGTACTAGCTTTGATGGGAATGCACAAGTGAAATCTCTGGGTGCTAATGAATCTCTTACTTTGGGTAGGAGGACAACATTAATTGTGTGCCCTCCTTCCGTATTTTCATCTTGGATGACACAGCTCGAAGAGCACACTTGTCCTGGAAAGTTGAAGGTGTATATGTATTACAGGGAAAGGACACAAGAAGTGGAGGAGCTTAAGAAATATGATATAGTGTTGACAACTTATAGTACTCTGGCTACTGAAGAATCTTGGTCAGAGTCCCCAGTGAAGAAGATGCAGTGGTGGCGAGTAATATTAGATGAAGCACATATGATTAAGAATGCAAATGCTTGCCAAAGTAGAGCTGTAACTAATTTGAATTCCAAGTGCAGATGGGTAGTCACAGGAACACCTATCCAGAATGGTTCTCACGATTTATATTCTTTGATGGCTTTTCTGCAGTTTGAACCATTTTCAATTAAGAGTTACTGGCAAAGTTTGGTACAAAGACCCCTTGCACAAGGGGACAAGAAAGGGATTTCACGTCTGCAGGTAATTCATTATATTACTAACTATTTCTGTGCTTAATGAATTAGCTATCGATATATCGTTGTTGATCATTTCACAAAGGGGATTTCATGATTATGTGATTTCAAGTGTTGTTGGATCGATTACATATTAATCAATATTGGGTTGATTGATCTATGCCTTTTTTGTTTGAAGATAATATTTTGATTTTCTTTTATATTTTCTTCCAGTTATTTTGTTTCCAAAAATTCTGAATGCCTTTTCTGGTGCCTACTTTCCTTCTATATCCTTGCATCCTGTTCGGTTTAGGTGTTCGTTGGGATTTTTTTTTCCTTTTTCCAAGTTTGGACTAGGAGAGTCTTTGTGTAGGAAAAACCTTAGTATTTGAGATCTCAGATTCAGAAATCAATTTCTTAGTTTATTCATGAGATGATTTTCTGTGCTCTAGGAACCTATAATTGTTAGTAGAGAACTCTCATCACAACTAAGAGACAGTATATGCATGTTTAAAATTGGCTTACACATCAAATGAAAGCATTGCAATACTTTGTCATAATGCATCAGATTTCCTAAAGACGAAAAAAATTGTGGTTGTGAAATAGTTATATATATTTTTAAAGCAACAAAAGTGGTCTGGTTAAATTTTTAATAATAAACAAGGGATTTATGAAAAGATAATCTGATGGCGGTTGGAAGGCTAAAGCCCGTTAGAGATTGAGGAATAGAAGTCCATCTTGCTCACAAAAAGGAAAAGGACAATGCAATGACTGCTTAAATTTGGACTAGGTCTATGCTTCTTCTAACTTCAGTCCATTTTTCCAAGAGGTTTTAATAAGGCTAATTACTTAATGGTATTCTTTTATTGGAATTTTCTGGTTGTTTTACATGTCTCCCTGTGTAACGTAGACTACTTTTAATTGCATTATTTCCTTTGCTTATTAGTTTTGCTATAACATGTGTCTTGCAGACTCTAATGGCAACCATTTCATTGCGAAGAATAAAAGAGAAAGGTTTGATTGGTTTGCCACCTAAAACATTGGAGATACGTTATGTTGAACTTTCTGAGGAAGAACGTGAATTGTATGATCAGTTTGAAGGACAGGCTAAAAGTGTTATTCAGGGATTTATTAAGGATGGTAGTCTAACACGTAACTATTCAACTGTGCTTGGAATAATATTACGTCTTCGCCAGATCTGCACTAGCTTGGCCCTGTTACCTCCAGATTTGAGATCCTTATTCCCTTCTAGCAATATTGAAGGTGTGGACAAATATTTTAGATTTACTTATTTTATTTTCGTGAGAATTCATGTCACACTCACAAGGTGGTTCTATTCATGGATGTTTCTTATTTCACTACTTTATTTATTCAAGTTTAACTAGATTTGCTTGCAAGTTTAGTAGTCAACTGATACTGAGTGAACATTCTGCCATGCTAGTCAATTCTTTAAACTTTGATATCTGCACCTACTACATTACCAGGCTACATTACCATTTTCACCACATCCTGTCAAATTATGTTTGGTGTATGATGTTTTGTTCAAAATGTCTGTTAACTTGTAGTTACAGACTAGATAGAAGCAAATTTTGCCATAGTTTGTACCAGCCAAATTACCAATGTTCATTCTTATTCTGTGTTGTTGGCCTTTTCCTGTCTTCTTGATGTTAGTTTATACCATCTGATGTTTTGCCATTCATTTACATTTTTGTTCTTTACAAGAGAACTATTCGTTCATTTCCCCCCTTCAATTAAAGCCTAATGTGGAGGAGTGAAGCATTTGATGCTTTCATTCTCAGGTAATGGTGTGAGTAGTTATGGACATCATGGTTAAGGTAAGATGACCTATGATTATGGAATGGATCAAATACTATCTTTTCCTTCAGAAGTATTATATTTCAATTTATTAATAGTCATTTTTTCATTCGTGGTAATTATTCCAATTACAATGTACTTATAACCTATTATTTGATTCCAATGCAGATGTCTCAAACAATCCAGAGTTGCTGAAAAAAATGGTTGCAGTGCTACAAGATGGTGAAGATTTCGATTGTCCAATTTGTATCTGTCCTCCAACTGACATGGTAATTACATGTTGTGCTCATATCTTTTGCCGATCCTGCATCCTCAAAACCTTACAGCGTACAAAACCCTGTTGCCCCCTCTGCCGTCATCCTTTATCACAGTCTGACCTCTTTTCAGCACCTCCAGAGTCTTCTGTTGCCAATGATGCTATTGCATCATCTTTGAAGGACACAGTATCTTCAAAAGTTTCTGCTCTCATAGCTCTCCTTCAAAAGTCACGAGAAGAAAACCCAACCAAAAAATCTGTTGTTTTTTCTCAGTTTCGTAAGATGTTGATATTACTTGAAAAGCCCCTGGAAGCTGCTGGTTTCAAGTTTTTACGTTTGGATGGGTCAATGAATGCAAAAAAGAGAGCAGAAGTTATTCAAGAATTTCAAGTTCCAGGACCAGGTGAACCAACAGTTTTGCTTGCAAGTCTCAAGGCTTCAGGTGCAGGTATCAACCTTACAGCTGCATCTACAGTCTACTTGTTTGAGCCTTGGTGGAATCCAGCTATTGAAGAACAGGCTATGGATAGGGTCCATCGGATTGGGCAGAAGGAAGATGTGAAGATTGTGAGGCTGGTTGCTCGTAACAGCATTGAAGAGAGGGTATTGGAGTTGCAAGAGAGGAAGAAGAAATTGGCTAGGGAAGCTTTTGGGAGGAAAGGCTCCAAAGATCGGAGAGAGGTCAGTGCAAATGATCTCCGTATTCTCATGTCCCTCTGATCAGTTCTCCTTAGACGGGTATGTTATGTTCACATGTCTGCCCTATCATAGGAACATTTTACTCTTTTGATGTCCATGCAATGTACAAATTGCTCCTGGTGTATATCTAGCTCATGATATCCAGGTCTATTGTGCAGTTCTTAGAAAGTACTTATGAGCGTTAGCTTGGAGTTATGTAGTGACCAGTTTTTGCAAATGTTTCTATGATGGCAACCGCAGAGACAGACTTTATATGAAATGAATGAATGATGGAAGTATTTTATTGGGTTTATTGGTTTTTTTAGAACATATTTTTTGCAGCTGACCCCAACAAGAGTTGGTCTTGTAGTCTTGTGGTTAGTCAATAAACTTTTTAGTATGGTAAGAGAAACTCCTTGGCATTTGCTTGGCAGGGCAGGTGCTTCATGGGGCAAAGACTACACCTATCCTGGTCTCACGCAGGGATTGTCGGACATGGGATAAATTGTCATCCTATTCAAGATTCATGTTTTCATCTTTTTCTTTTTTGAAGAACAAACTTTCATTCATTCTGATTTTGGGTTTCTTCTTAAAGCCTTTACAGGACAAGAATTAGGGAGCTTTAATGACTTTAGGGAACTCAAAATAGGAAGAAAAGCCTTGCAATTTGGGGTTCCGAACCCAGTTGTGGTTTTGAACTCACCCCCCCCCCCCCCCCCCCCAAAAAAAAAAAAAAAATCCAATTCTGGGTTAGTGGCAACTCATTTGGTTGAGAGGGAAAACCATTTGCACAAGCAGTTATTACACTTGCACTTGCATATCTGGAAATTCCACTGTTTCTCCCCTATTTAAGTAACATAATTTGGCTCCCTATCTAGTGAGTAATTATAAGATGACAAGGAACTAAAAAATAAGACAAATTTGGGAGTTTTATAACTTTCATTAAATTCGAAGCTTTGCTAAAAGCAAAAAATTTCAATTTTGAAAAGCTCTTAACATTTTAATAATTGAAACCAACCTCAGAATAATTCACAAGTACTTATGAAAAAACCATGTTTGGATATACATAAAAACTATTAAAAAAATATACTTACCAGTTAAATTTATAAAAAAAAAAATACTTTTAAAGTATAATGTTTTAATAAACTCTTATTAAAAAAATTAAAATAATTTTAAAACAAAGCCTAACAAATATAGTACTCTTTATGGCTCAAAATAACTATTATTTTTTTATTTTGAATTTTTTTCATTTTACTTGTTTTTTAGTTTTTTATTTTTTTTATAATAAATAAATATTTTTATTTTACTTTAATTCTATAATTACCATTCACTTTAATTAATCTATCAATCACAAAAAAAAATA